CCCAAACAAAGTGTCCCCCTTCCTTCAACATGCAAAAAATAAAATTAATGAAATGATTTATATTACTTTATCACCCCTGCCCCATAAAGTCCCAATAAATAATCACAAAATGGAAGAACAGAATATCTCTGGCCTGTGATGCACATCTGCTGTGCTCAGTATTTTAGAGTCTAAGGTCTGGCAGCAGGTGTCTTCCACTGCTGAAAGGTAGACACCAGTAGTTGTAGTAATCCCAAATGTGAGCCTGTGATGGGTTAGGTCACAGAGACCCTCTTGCGACTGTCACCTGATGTGCTGAGACTACCTCTGAGCCTGTTTTCCCTGGCAGCTTGGGACTTCAGTATCCTGTCTTGTTGATCCAGACATGCTAGCCTGCTACAAACACAGATCTAGGTCTGAACCATGTCCCCCAAATACTTCAGACTAACTGAAAACAGCTTAGAAAGTGTTCCTGTCTCTAGCACCCAGACACTCAGTTCCCAATGAATCCAAACCCCAAATAAATCTGTTTTATTCTGTATAAAGTTTATACAGGGTAAACTCATAAATTGTCCGCCCTCTATAACACTGATAGAGAGAGATGCATAGCTGTTTGCTCCCCAGGAATTAATTACAGTAACTCCTCGCTTAACGTTGTAGTTATGTTCCTGAAAAATGCAACTTTAAGCAGAACGATGTTAAGTGAATCCAATTTCCCCATAAGAATTATTGTAAATAGGGGGAGTTAGGTTCCAGGGAATTCTTTTTCACCAGACAAAAGACTATATTATATATATGTATACACAGTATAAGATTTAAACAAACAATTTAATACTGTACACAGCAATGTATGAAGTTTGGTTGAGGTGGTGGAGTCAGAGGGTGGAAGAGGGTGGGATATTTCCCAGGGAATGCCTTACTGCTAAATGATGAACTAGCATTCATCTGAGCCCTCAAGGGTTAACACGTTGTTAATGTAGCCTCACAATCTAACACGAATGGAGGGAGGGGAGACAGCATGGCAGACAAAGACAGACACACACCCACTGTGTGTGTGTGAGAGAGAGAGAGATGCGCATTGCCCCTTTAAGTATGCTGACCCCACTCTAAGTATACTGCCTTTTTAGATGAGGAAGTTGAGACAGCAGCTGCTGCCTGCAAGCTCCCTCTGTCCTGAGCCCTGTCGTGTCTCCCCCCTGCTCTATGGAGATAGGGTAAGTGGGTGGCAGGAGCAGAGGGGAGCAGGACACCCTGATATTAGCCCACTTTCCCACCCCCCCCCCCCACGCAAGTAGGAGTCTCTGGGAGCAGCTCCAAGGCAGAGGGCAGGAGCAGCACATGGCAGTGGGGGGAGGGACAGCTGAACTGTTGGTAATTGATAGCCTGCTGAGCGGCTGCCGCACAGGGAACTTAGGGGAGCAGGGAGATGATAGGGGGGCTGCCGGTCCACCATGGTTCCAAGCACCCACTAGCTAGCTGCAAAGGTCTGCTCTTTCTGCAAGCAGTGGACAAAGCAGGCGGCTGCCAAAGAGGAGCATTGCTCAACTTTAAATGAGTGTGTTCCCTAATTGATCAGCAATGTAACAATGAAACAACATTAACCAGGACGACTTTAAGTGAGGAGTTACTGTACTTGCTCTGGGTTAATTAATAAGCAAAAAGTGATTTTATTAAATATTAAAAGTAGGATTTAAGTGGTTCCAAGTAATAACAGACAGAACAAAGTAAATTACCAAGCAAAATAAAACAATAACTCGCGAGTCTAAGCCTAATACAGTAATAAACTGATTACAGATGAAACCTCACCCTCAGAGATGTTTCAATAAGCTTCTTTCACAGACTAGACTCCTTCCTAGTCATAGAATCATAGAATATTAGGGTTGGAAGGGACCTCAGAAGGTCATCTAGTCCAACCCCCTGCTCAAAGCAGGCCCAATCCTTTCTCCTGGTACAGTCCTTGTTTCAGCATAGGTGATAGCTAGGGAATTTCCCATGACTGCAGTCCCCTTTGTGCTGTTCCACCCCCTTATATACCTTTGGCACAAGATGGGAATTTTTTGTCTCTTTGGGCCCCCACCACTCCTTCTAAATGGAAAAAGCCGCAGCTTTAAGATAGATTCCAGTACCAGGTGACATGGTCACATGTCCCTTTAGACCCCAAGCCTTCATTCTTACCGGCTTGACATACAGGAAGGCTTGCAAATAAACAGAGCCATCTACAGTCAATTGTCCTAGTTGATGGGAGCCATCAAGATTCTAACCCACCATTAATGGCACACACTTCGCATAACTACAATAGGACCTCAGAGTTATATTTTATATTCCTAGTTTCAGATACAAGAATGATACATTCATACAAATAGGATGAACACACTCAGTAGATTATAAGCTTTGTAACGATACCTTACAAGAGACCTTTTGCATGAAGCATGTTCCAGTTACATTATATTCACACTCATTAGCATATTTTCATAAAATCATATAATAGAATCATAGAATGATAGAATATCAGGGTTGGAAGGGACCTCAGGAGGTCATCTAGTCCAACCCCTTGCTCAAAGCAGGACTAATCCCCAATTAAATTATCTCAGTCAGGGCTTTGTCAAGCCTGACCTTAAAAACCTCTAAGGAAGGAAATTCCACCACCTCCCTAGGTAACCCATTCCAGTGCTTCACCACCCTCCTAGTGAAAAAGTTTTTCCTAATATCCAACCTAGACCTCCCCCACTGCAACTTGAGACCATTACTCTTTTTTCTGTCATCTGCTACCAATGAGAAAAGTCTAGATCCATCCTCTTTGGAACCCCCTTTCAGGTACAGTAGTTGAAAGCATCTATCAAATCCCTCCTCATTCTTCTCTTCTGCAGACTAAATAATCCCAGTTCCCTCAGCCCCTCCTCATAAGTCATGTGCTCCAGCCCCCTAATCATTTCCGTTGCCCTCCGTTTGACTCTTTCCAATTTTTCCACATCCTTCTTGTAGTGTGGGACCCAAAACTGGACACAGTACTCCAGATGAGGCATCACGAATGCCAAATAGAGGGGAATCATCACGTCCCTTGATCTGCTGGCAATGCTCCTACTTATACAGCCCAAAATGCCGTTAATCTTCTTGGCAACAAGGGCACACTGTTGACTCATATCCAGTTTCTCGTCCACTGTAACCCCTAGGTCCTTTCTGGAGTGTCATCTGCAAACTTGCTGAGGGTGCAATCCATCCCATCATCCAGATTATTAATGAAGATGTTAAACAAAACCGGCCCAAGGACTGACCCTTGGGGCACTCTGCTTGATACCGGCTGCCAACTAGACATGGAGCCATTGATCACTACCCATTGAGCCCGATGATCTAGCCAGCTTTCAATCCATCTTATAGTCCATTCATCCAGCCCATACTTCTTTAACTTGCTGGCAAGAATGCTGTGGGAGACCATATCAAAAGCTTTGCTAAAGTCAAGGAATAACATGTCCACTGCTTTCTCCTCATCCATTGAGCCAGTTATGTCATTATAGAAGGCAATTAGGTTAGTCAGGCATGACTTGCCCTTGGTGAATCCATGTTGTCTGTTCTTGATCACTTTCCTCTCCTCAAAGTGCTTTAAAATTGATTCCTTGAGGACCTGCTCCATGATTTTTCCAGGGACTGAGGTGAGGCTGACTGGCAGATACTCCTTCTTTCCTTTTTTAGAGATGGGCACTACATTAGCCTTTTTCCAGTCATCTGGGACCTCCCCTGATCGCCATGAGTTTTCCAAGGTAATGGCAAATAGCTCTGCAATCACATCCGCCAACTCCTTTGACACCCTCGGATGCAATGCATCCAGCCCCATGGATTTGTGCTCGTCCAGCTTTTCTAAATAGTCCTGAACCACTTCTTCCTCCACAGAGAGCTGGTCACCACCTCCCCATACTGTGCTGCCCAGTGCAGTAGTCTGGGAGCTGACCTTGTTCGTGAAGACAGAGGCAAAAAAAAGCATTGAGTACTTTAGCTTTTTCCACATCCTCTGTCACTAGGTTGCCTCCCCCATTCAGTATGGGGCCCACACTTTCCCTGACCTTCTTCTTGTTGCTAACATATCTGTAGAAACCATCCTTGTGACTCTTAACATCCCTTGCTAGCTGCACCTCCAAGTGTGATTTGGCCTTCCTGATTTCACTCCTGCATGCCTGAGCAATATTTCTATACTCCTCCCTGGTCATTTGTCCAATCTTTCATTTCTTGTAAGCTTCTTTTTTGTGTTTAAGATCAGCAAGGATTTCACTGTTAAGCCAAGCTGGTCACCTGGCATATTTACTATTCTTTCTATACATCTGTATGGTTTGTTCCTGCAACCTCAATAAGGATTCTGTAAAATACAGCCAGCTCTCCTGGACTCCTTTCCCCCTCATGTTATTCTCCCAGGGGATCCTGCCCATCAGTTCCCTGAGGGAGTCAAAGTCTGCTTTTCTAAAACCCTGGGTTTGTATGGAGTACAACGTCACAGAGGCATTCCAGTCCTCACTGAATACCTCACCTTTGCTTTTATAAATATTCCGAAGGTGCAGCAGATGCCTGTGAGCACTTCAACATTGTGCACCTGTCATTGTAAGTGAACAGACCTATTCAGTGAATACAAAAACATCAAAAATGTCACTATTATTGAATGGCAATACAGATTCTCCTTGCCTCTTCCTGAATAGCAAAGACTTTTAAAGCCCCCTTGTATCATGTGTTTTGCCTGCACACCCAACATAGAAGTCCATAAACCTCCCACAGTGATCCAGTACAGCCTGTATCAGCATTGCATCCAAGCAAAACTATCAGCATAGTATCAACTATCAACAATGAGGGCAAGTATCTAGTTTGTAGGGACGCATAGCTCCCGAATCGCCAGTCCACAGGCGCGGCAAACTGCTCCCATGGCAACGAGGCAGGAGTGACCTTCAATCCAGCGTTTGTGTTTGGGAAAACCTTTTGGCTGATTTGATTGTTTCCTCGCAGCTGGCATTCACGCGCTCAAGAGATGGGTTCATTATCTTATGTGCATGTATACCGCCTGGCTTTTCTATGCGCAGGAATGTAACCACTAAGAAGAGTTGTAAACAAAGTAAGGAGAGAAATAAAAACCCCAGGAAAGTTTTCCTGGGAGGCTTTTTGCTTGAGGCTTTTAGAGCTCTCTGGCTACCACAAACCTGGTGTTCTATTTCCTTTCCTGTGTCGTCCCCACAGCTGGTGACCCCGACGTGATACCCCTCTACTCACCGGCTGGATACGCCGAGCGCGCCCCGCAGCTGTTTGCCGCCCCTTATTCGTGAGCATGGGGGGGGTGACTTTCCAGTGCCCAGAAGGAGCACCCAAGAGAGTTACAAAAGATTA